AATATATTTCAGAAGTAGTTTGGCCAATAATTCATTTAGATATTTTTACTTTTTAATCTCAAAATAATTTTCTGATTAAATTTCAGCTAACAAAATTTCTGGAAAATTTTTTAATTTTAAAACATATTTTGTAGTTTAAAAATAATTTTCGACGGAAATTTACCAAATTGCCTTTGGTCCAAAATTAAAAAAAAAAAAAAAAAAAAACGACAAAATATCCTTCAAAACTTTTTCCTTATTTTCAAAATTAACCTCCGTTATCACTTTGGCATCCAAGTGAAATAAAATACAAACAAAGCAAAAGACCTCCAAGTTATAAACTAGAAGGAATTAACAACTATAGTTCTTGTGTCACAAAGAATTATTATTGTCAATGAAATAAAAAAAAAAATTTTTTCCATTCGACAATTTCTGCGTTACTATATCTTATCTCAATATCTTGAATTTTTATTTTTCTAAAAAATAAAAAATTTTCCAATTTTTAAAAGTATCTCTAATAAATAATTGATGTGATTAGATGCGGATTTCTTTGCGTTAAAAAAATTAAAATACAATTAATAGCCTGTTACCAGAGGAATTATTAGAAAAAAGTTGTAATCAGAGTCAATAAATTATGGGGACTTTTTTTTTTTAAACGATATCAATATTTTCCAAATGAGTTTTAACTGTTAATTTTTTATGCCCAAAGTGCAGTCATTTGTATTTAATTGAATTCTGAAATGATTTTGAGTACGTACAATGATGTAATCGTATATTAAAATGTAACAGATAAGATAGACTGATAAAAAAAACCTCTTGGGGATCGTTTGATAATTGAAAAATAAAAATCTCATACTTACCAAAAATAATAATCTTTCAAAATTAAAGGAAAATTCCACTTGGAAAATTCTTTTTAAAAGAAGAAAAATATTTTTTTCCTCTTTCGGGTCTTACTCTCGTCAAGTTTTTTTATTTTTGATCGAAAAAAGCATTGAAAAATTTAAATATTGAAAATAAAATGCATTTAATTAAATGTAAATTTAAAAAAAAAATGTTATTAAACATCTTAGGGGTGAAAAAAATGCAAATTTTTGTAAGGAAAAGATAGAAAGGGAAATTTTTATCTGAAAGATTATAGAAAAACAAAATTCCGTAGCTTAAGATTTAGAAAAAAATTCGTCATTTTTTGGGTGAGAAAATTGATGCAGATAAATAGAGAGAAGAAAAAAAGAGGGTTGTCTAGCCATATTCATTGCACGGAGAGAAGAGTTGCAGTAAATGTGACAGAACGCGTTTAGTAAATCATTTAGTGCACCGGTTAGTGGCGCCAACTGTATGTTTAGTATAATACACTACGACACCTCTCTGTTTAGTAGAATATACTGTTTGCTCAGTGTATCTTACTATCTTACTAAACAGTGCAGTAGATGGCACTGTCTGTACCGTCAGTCCAAACCTAACGATTCTGTTTAGTAGATTTAACTGCCATGTCAGTAGAATCTACTACGCCCTTCTCTCCGTGTGTGTTATATACTTTGAGGATATTCACCCGGAAGTGCACGCGATTCTATATTTATCGTAGGTCGTCCATATAGATATATGCCTATCATAGAAACAACCTTTTCGTACCTTAGCATTTCTCTATATCTATTTTCAACTTTGTTTCCGTGTAATCAGCGTGGAAAACTTTCTAAAACCCACTTTTGTTAATATAGGCGTCATCACACAAACCCATGTCTTCAGTTATCTGTTAATTATTTTTCAAAATATCAAACAGAAAAAAGATGATCACTCATCTCAATGTTTAGAAATTAAAGAAAAGGAATTATCAAAAAACAAGAATAATAATTAACAATATAATAATAATATCCACATCACAGTTTTTCTAATGATATCAAATTGTTGCTCCGCAACAATTTTGATCCTTAGGATCCTTAGAAAAACTGAGTTGCCTCGTAAAACAAAAATAAATAAATATAAATAATAATAATAACATTGCTATAATAATTATTGTAAAAACTGCCAATTAGAAAGAATAATCTCCGTAAATTCTCCACTACTTGTTTATTTGTCACATTTAGGAGACAATAATCGGAGATAATAATCAGTCACGTGTAATTCACTCGAATATCGAATCGAAAGGGAAATGATTACCAAAAAAAGAAATTTTGATTTTGAATATGATAAGAACGTTAAAAAAACACAAATTTTACGGTATAAAATATTAAATAGATAGAAATGATTTTTTTCCAATTTTAATTTATTTTATTTTCAATTTAATTTTTAATTTATTAATAATTAAATTTAGTTATATCCATATAAACAGGGGTGCAAATAAGAAAAACGCCCTTTTGTAAAAAGTACTCAAATAAATAAAATTGGATTTAAGTTCCATGGAAATTCTGCAAGTTTTTTATTTTAATATTATTTTAACATTTCTATTATGATTAGAGTCTAATAATAAGACGAAACACGGAGGTACACCGAACTTATTTAGAATTTATTTACGATTCCGAAAAAATGTGTGTCTTAAAAAACGTCATTTTTTCATTTATTTAAAAAATAGAATAGTAACAGTTTATTAATTAATAAACATAATAATATACTATACAAATATTTACTTATTTGAGACACTTTACAAGAAAAGGAACCTAAGAAGCAAAATCATATAGGTTATGTTTGTTATTTTTTTATGTGGAAAAAAAATTCTATTTTAGTTTTGTAAAATAAAAAATAATTTTTATATAATATTTTAATTAGGTATAATTTAAAGGCTTAAATATAATTAGTTTGAACTGAGGGTTAACCGACTTTATGCATTTTCATTTAAAACATAGTAGTTAAAACTTTAAACAACTTAATTTTCTATCATTGTTTATGTCTTCAGGCTTGTTGAAAAAGTTTCCTTAAAAAATAGTAAAATTTAATATTAAAAACTGTTATTTCCAAAATAAATTTTATTATTTTCGAAAATAATTTTTTTTAATAGAAATTAGAAAAACTTTTTTCAAAAATAGTAAAATTTACTCTAAAAATAAGAATATTTAATAGCTAATTGTAATGTACAAGGAAGATTTGAATAATTTTCATAAAAAAATTGACATTGAAAATAGTAAATTTTTCTATTAAAAATTGTTATTTCCAGAGTAAATTTTATAATATCAATAGTAAGTTTTATTGAAAATTCGTAAAATATACTTTGAATTTAGTAAAATTTAGGGTAATGTCACCTTGAGTGGACCGCCTAAGCTTTTTTTCTAAAAAATTCTTTATGACAGCAAATTGATCGGAGGTTTCTATTCCAAGCTTTAGTTTAGATCCCTAGATAAGTGTTTATACCATAATAGCTTTGATTTTTTTTTTATTTGGGAAAAACAATTGACTTTAAAAAAATAGCTCATTTTTAAGGAATGAAAAAAGTGTAACCTTAAGTGAAACCATTTTCAATAATTTTGGCACATATCACATCAAAATCACAAAAAAATTAATAAAGAACATAAAACAGTTTCAAACCAATTTATTGTCAATTTATTTCCTTAAAAATGGTAAACTGACATTAAAAATATAAAAAACAGGCAGTCCACTCATGGTTATAAAGAGTGGTCCACTCATGGTGACATGCAACTTTTTATGGCAGACACCAAAATTTTTTTTTCAGTCAAAATTATCACTTAATTAAACTAAGACAATCAATTTCAATGTCCAAAGTAGTAGGAAAAAAATAAGTTACCTTTTAAAACTTAAATTTTACACTACTTTTACACTTCCAAATCACTTTACTCATTGTAAGAGCGACTTCTTTTTTGGTTTGTATTCTTAAAAATGCGTTACATCAAACAATAACGTACATGTTTATCGCGGAACTTAATTTCTTACGGTTTCCAGGTGCGGTGCTGCTATTCGCACTATTTATTTCACTCTTCCGCTGTCAGATAACTTAAAAGCTCAGGCGGTCCACTCAAAGTGGCGGTCCACTCAATGTGACATTACCCTATTCTGAAATTAATGCAGTTTGTCAAAAATTCCAAACAATTTGGATTTTTGGTGAGATCTTATTTTGTTTTTTTGAAAAAATCCATTCATATAATTTTGTAATTATTTATATTAGCTTTATTTTGGATTTTTCTTAGAAGTAAAAGTAATTTTATATTTGTTACCCTTTTATGAAAAAATTTAAAATAATATAAAAAGATTTTTAAATTTTAAAATATTAAAATTTTTCAAAGTTTGAGAAAAGTAAAAATTTTTCTAATTTACAAAAAATTACAATTTTTACAAGTTTTTTTTTAAAATAAGGGGAAAAGGGGAGAAAATTTATGATTTTGGGTGTTTTAGGAGATTTTATTAATTTACGGGGATAAAAAAGGGGAAAAGAGGAAGGAAAGGGGATTAAGTAAAAATGGCGGCTAACTGTTACATAAATAATATTTGCTTTCTGTTAAAACCGCTTTTGAATTATTTTATAATAATATTGAAAAAAATATTAATTTCAATTTAAAGAAATTCGAAAATTTAGAAAAGATAAATATAAATAAAAGGAAATTAAAAAAGTAAGAAGTGATTTCTAGCGCGGCACGTGGCTTTCTATATTTATACAAATTCTGAATATTTCTGTCGATATAAATATTAATATCATAAAACAGAAATAAATATAGAATGTGTATAGAAACGATTTTATAAGGCTTTTAACTAAAGTACCAATAAAAAAACGAATCAAAAAAAGAATTATATTTTTACAAACAGAAAAATTGAAAAAATTCTCTCTAATCTTTTTATTAACAAAAAATATATTTTCATTTTTGAAGAATTGAAAATTGATAGATTTCAGAGTTAATAAAATTAAATATAGGTATCACGCATTATTCTCTGTCATTTTTAGCTCATGATAAGAGAATATTGACCTACAAATATGGTTGATAAATAAATGAAGATTAAATGTGACCTTCCTGTGTAATATATATGAAACAAATGTTTAATTTCTTCCTTTTCTTTTTATTTACTCTTTTATTTTTTTTGTTCAGATTGATGATCCTATTCACGTGATATCGATAGAGGAGCCTCCTGATGGATCCAGACAAAAACCACCGGATTATGATGCCGTGACTGATGCTCCACCAACTTATGATGATGCTATCAAATTAAATCCAGGACAATTAGTGAGGTCCAGTAATTGTAGTTCAACTATTTTATCAGCAGAACACACGATACCAGGGACGGTCGACGCACTTTCCTGCCAATCTGTACCCACACCACCACCACCATACGCCAGGTGGGAAACATTTCTTATTTAATTATAGCAAAATTTTATATCCTTAAAGAAATTAAATTATTATATTTTCAATTATCAAATATGGAGGATTGTAGGACAAAAGTTCCAAATAAATCACATTCTTGCCATTGGGAAAAATTGTTCTAAAAATATATCGTCACTTAATTTTGTTTAATTTCGAATATAGATGAATTATAAAATTTCAAGTGTATCAGCTGTTTTATTTGTCCGCCGCCATTTTATTACTTCTAAGAATTAGGAGAAACAAAATGACGGCTGACAAATAAAACAGCTGATCCACTTGAAATTTTATAATTCGTCTGTATTCGAAATTAAACAAAATTAAGTGACGATATTTTTTTAGAACAATTTTTCCCAATGGCAAGAATGTGATTTATTTGGAACTTTTGTCCTATCCTACTAGAAAATAAGACGAACCAGGAAAAATTCTACAAACGATAATTTTACATTTCTTGATTACCTTTGATCTTATCCTTACATTACATTTTTTCCCTTCCATTTATTTATCGATCTCTCTCCAACACCAACATTATTATTTCCCTAAAAAAACATATAATTATCATAATTTAATTTTCCAGGTGAGAACCCTTGGACAGGGGATATGTTATCCTGCCAAACAGCGTAATTATTGATGAGGAAGAAAATAATTGGAGGAACAATCAAGTACAAGGCTAACATGTGCTATACATACTTTAAAAAAAATTGACATCACAAGTGATTGAAAACTAACTTCGGACATATTAAAGAGAGTGAAAAGTGTCAATGTGCGTATATTGAGAAAAAAAATGAAAAATTTTTCTCTCAAGAAAATGAAAGAATAAAAAATGGCTCTTGCGGGACGAGAGATGGATGATCAACGAAGACAAGAGAAAAAAGAAGAAGAAGAAGTGGAAGAAGAAATGTAAAACGTGCCTCTAGTCAATAACCACATTTCCCGTTATATCGTCAACCATCATACAATACACTACAATGGCCTTAAAAAATGAGTATGGAAAACATTGCTTTGGTCAAGAGTGGACACTATTTTATTTACATAAAATAAAATCAAAGACGATCGCGACAAAGGTACTAGAGTACTCGACTGAATAGCCTTTATTAAAAAAAACATAGCCTTATTTTCTCCTGTTGAAAGCAAACTTTATATGTTTCTACATATCCAAAACGATAATTTACGAATTGTTGATAATTCTTGTATATAATTGTACAAAAAGAACAGTAGTTATAGTTTCGCAAATTTTCTAATCTAATTTATAAAAATATACGACTCCTGGAATGATCTTCCTTGACGAAACTATTGTTTTTTTTTTTGCAAAATTAAATTATCACAAAAAATATTATTGTAGCGAAAAAATTAAACGGAAATAAAAGCGTTTTTCGTTCATCAACAACAAAATTTACCGTGGCCACTTTAGTTTAATTGTAAATTTTCAAAATTAATCTAGTAGATACTTTTGAAGATATTGTACATATAGTTAAAATATTTATAATTTTAGTGATTAATTAAAAAATTATAGATAATTAATAAATACCACATGGGTGTTTTCAACAGGGTCAGTTAAAAATATTTTCTTCAGACTGAAATTAAACTGTAAATTTGCGTCTTTCGCACAAAGGGACATTTTTAAAAATTCTACGTTTTTCTATAATATTTAAAAATTCCGTTTTTTCATTTAAGTAGATAATAAATAAAGAACAAAAGTTTAAGAACCGGCGGCAGGAAATTGGGCCGAAAATGTTAAAAACAATATTTTTTTGAAAAAAAAATTATTAGTTTTAATTTTTATGGCATATATTTAAAAAAAAATGTAAAGAAAAAATATTTTGTTTTCGAAATGCGTCCCTATAATTGTGATATACATTGTTTTTTACGTCTAATTGCGATGTGCTTAAATAGTTGAAACCAAACGTCAAGTGCAAAAATTTCTGTTGTAAACAATTGTTTGCAATTGACTATTTATTATAAGACTTTTTGATAGCAACATGGTGAATATATATTATTGAATAAACAACAAAGAATTGTTTATTTCTTTTTCATTCCAAAACATTTTTTCCCTTTAGATTAATTCATGTTTATTAATTCCTTTTTCTATTAAATTATTATTTCACTTATTTCACTAACTGAATTCGACTATTAATAGAAGTAGAGAGTAGACATTAGCCAAACTTAAAATCCTTACCATATTTGATTAAAAAATATTAATATAGAAGAAAGATATGACACTCTTTTAAAATTACAAAATTTTTCATTTTTTTTTATATATTTTGTACCTAATCTATTTTACTCAAACCAGGTTCATAATTATTATTAGTGGTTTTCATTAAGATTTTGTCGATAGAATATTAAAATTGTGATTAACAAAATTAGAGTTTCTAATTTTAGTTTGTTTAGTTTATTAAATGTTAAATTAATGTTAAAAATTAAATAATAAAATATATAAATATAAATATATATATATATATATATAAATAATAAAATATTTTATTTAATATTGTTTCATTAATGTTAATTATGTTTATTTTTTCTAATTTTAGTTTCTGGTTTCTACTTTCTTCTTTCAATAACGAACTACAAAGATTAGAAATTCTGAAACTTTTAATTTAACAAAAATATTTTTTATTGTAATTTCCAAGTGATGTTCTTAACTTGTTTTTATTGTTAGAAAAAATTATTAGGGTTTTTTGAGAAAATCAATGGGAGTCTTACAGAACTCTGATCAGAATTACTAGAACTCTAAATTCAAGTGTTTTTAAGATTATCCAAAATTGTTATAAGGGTTCTTCAAAAATTCTAATTAGAGCTTACAGAACTCGGACCACAACTTCTGCAACTCTTAAATAGTCTTAATTTAAATTGTCGTTTTTTTAAAAGTCAAAATTTAAATTGCTCTGTTCCTAATTATGCCATTCGACTCATTCTTTGCATTAACACTATTGGGGTGTGTAGAAAGTCAGATGCTTTTTGGCAGTGTGATAAAAAATTTTTTTCACAAATTTTTGCAAATAACCCTCAGAGAACACACTTCTTTTTTAGACCATTTTTCAAAGCTCAACCAATTTTTAACTGCTCATCTAATCAAACTGAAGAATTTTTAAAATATAGTTTCAACTCTGTAGAATAAGTCTGTATACTTGAAAATCCTTATTAAAAATTTTAAAAAAAGATAAAAAGCTTTTCGTCAAAAAGCGTGGGTCAAAAAAAGACCCCCATGTGTTCTCCGAAGGTTAAAATCACGTAGGGTGACCTCTAGAGATGCTCCAGTTCAAAAGATTTAAAAAATATTAATTACGAAAGAAGTTATGGACAAATTTCGAAAAATTACGTCACAACTCAGAAAAATGCTCAGAAATGGGTAGAACGATTTTTCCATTTTTGGTCTGCAAAATTGAACTTAAGGATTTCAGGATATAGCCAACCAAAAATTGACATTTTTCACGTCTTAAATTTGTGAATGCATACTCTTCGGGTGTAATTATAAATTCAGATTTTAATGGGCGACACGAGCATGTTTTTTTATTGCAGAACTCTTGTTTTTTGGTAGAAAACTGTAGAATCTTTATTCTCCTTGAGAACATTAGGTCAGAACTCTTATTTGGAGAAATAATAGTTTGTTTGGAAAAAAATTTTATTATGGGTTTTTTATGGAACTACATAGAGGGGGGAACTCTCATTAGAACTCTCATCAGAACTCTTCTATTGTATTTTTGAATTGACACTATTAGAGTTATCTATATGGGCGTATTCCTGGCAAAATTTGGAAAATTTTGAGTGGTCTTAGAAGTTTTTTGGTTAAAAATTCGCTGAGTTACGGAATTTCAAAGTTTAGAACGCCAAAAACCTCATTTCGAGAAAAACGGAATTAAAGATTGCGATACCAACTAATTGTTGTATCTCTGGTTCTTCTTGGAAGCTATTCAGATAAGAATTGTTTCCAGTTCAGGCCACCTTGGAGATAAAAAACCAACAGGTTTTAAATTTTTAAAACCATCCCCCCCCCTCTTAATTTTGAAAATACGAAAAATCGACAATATGGGCCCTTTTCTAAAAAAGACATTTTTTCTATTAAAAAATCATTTTTTTACAAGATTAATAATTAGGTACAATTTTATTGTGACATTTGAAGAAAAAGAATAGATATTAAACTTATTTAAAATTTTTTCACAGTCTCTATTATGAAAAAATTGACGCAATATATCCAAATTTTTATTTTCGACAATTACGAAAAAAGACTCTAACGTCAATATCTCTGGTTCTTCTGGGAAGTTATTCAGATAAGAATTGTTTACAGTCCAGGACACCTTAAAGATGAAAAATCAAGAGGTTTTAAATTTTTCCACACCTCCATTTTTAAAATACGGATTGCTTTTGCAAATGACCGACAAAATGGGCCCTTTTCATTGTTCTAAAGAACCAATGAAATCAAAATGAAAAAAAAATTAAGATTTTTCTCCAAAATTACTAAATTCCGATTATCTCGAAAACTAGAACCGACAATATGGGCCCTTTTCATGTGGACGTCCACATATATCGTTTTTTCAATGTTTTATCGTTTTGGCTTTGTATGATCTTTCAAAACTACTTAGAACTCTATTAATAAAGTCGTATTTTCAAAAGTGGGGTGCTGTGTGAAGTTGGGCCCCATATGAATAAATTGATGTTTTTATCATTGTAGAGGAAGCCAGAACTCTGAAAAAGAATTTAATATTAAAAGTGTGGGGCCAACTTTACATAGATTGTTTTACAATAAAAAAAAAAAATTGTTTTTAAGATTTCACACTAAGAGTACTAATTATTACAGGAATAGTCCCACACATTTGTTTAGTGAATAAAAAAATATTATTACTTTTTCAAATAGTGTAAATGAAATGACAAGTTTTTTTTCGATAAATACCCTTTATTCAATCGGAGTAACATTTATGCTTGTTTTTTAAAGCATTTTGCTGAAACTTATAATTCATATATAGAACTTTATCAAAGACAACAATAATAATACTAATAAATTAATAATAATAATAATAGGAATTATAATAATAATTAAATATTAATAATTATAATCATAATTATGATAAGAATAATAATTATTATAAAATTGGCAAGAATTAGTAACGAATTATTACTAATAATCGAAACCATAATATTAAATAAAAAATCCAAAGAAAAAGACAGGAGAAGACATTTCGTCCCTTTTATCTCTTCTACTCCACCAAATTTTGTCAACTAATTAGTAATAATTCTTATTTTCTATAATACATAATAATTTCTAATATACAATAACAAATTATATAAAAGAATTATAATAAATTATATATTAGCAATATAATTATGTGACAATAATAATGAATAGAAAATAATAATAATAATAATAATATTAATAATAATTTTTTAATAAATAAAATCTGAATCGTAATAATAAGAATTGCAATGATTTCGAGAGTAATTGTAATTGTTCGACTATATCTATATTCTAGTTTATTAATTCTCTCACTACACGGTGCTGGTTAAAATGTATTTAAGATAACGTTATCTTCTTGCATCTCATTCAGGTAAATAATTGATTCTCATTCTTCTACTTTTTTATGTACATTATCACTTTCTAACAGCTGCGGTAAAAATCAGTTTTTTTTATTTAATAGACGAAGTAATGGGCCAACAGTATCACGGTTTTTTAATTTCGTATATTGCGTATGTGCACCAAAACTACTTCGTATTAGTCGTCACATTTTTTTGTAATTCACATTCATTACCTCCTCGTTGTACTTGCGATGACTAAATTCAAATTGCTTAGATTTTTCTTTTCGCATCATTTTTTTTTCTTTTGTACAACGAAATAACACATATTATGGATTTTTCAAAGAAAACAAAGAAGACTATGTATATATAGAAAGAAAACTTAACTTTAATAAATTTTTCAAATTTTAATTTAAAACGTGTCTTTTTTTAGTACCAATTTTAATTGTTTTAATTGTTAAATTTCAAACCGAATATCGAGGGAATGAAATTAATTAACATTCATACTTTTGACTTATTATCGAGTTCTTGGGGGGGAATGTACACGAACACTAGCAATGATTAAAAATTTATTAATTGGATTTCTTATATTCTAGACGCGTGCATATATTATAATTTCATTTTCACCTAATCAGTCGTCACATTTTTTACTATGTTCCGCGTTTTTTTTCTTTTTTTAAAGTATAATTAACATTTATTCAAGACTCTTTTTTCATTTAGTGACTAAAAGTTACAACAAACTGTATTTTTTTACCATTACAGATGTTTAAAACTTTATGAAGTGAGTCTTTAGATCAGGCGTACATTTCTTTATCGAATATTTTTTATTAGTGTTTATTTACAAGAATATTTTTTTGTGTTCTTGAAAATTTCATTTTTTTTTTTTTGAGTGAATTTAATTCAAGACAGAAGAACTTCGATGGAGATTATAAAATTGATATGCAAGTGTCAAAAAGGAATATGATGGAACATTGAAAAATTCTAAAATACTAGAAATGATGAAAATATTTTTCTATTTGTTGTTTTTTATGTTCTTTGCTGTAGTTAAAAATTTTCCTTGTAGGGAATTCGGGGATTCCCTTTTTATTACTTCTTGAGCTTATAAGTACCAACTTTGAAAATTGAAATTATAAAAAAGCGCGAAATTCAAATGCTAAGTGCAGAATGAAAAACGTATTTTTGTATTTTTTAATTTTATTGGAGGGATTACTTGAAATAAATGTTATTAATTCGAAAATTGTTTCTTAAGAAAAAAAATGTTGTTATCCTCGAAGCGCCAGTGTCTCTTGTAGAAAAAAATACGCGTGCGTCAGGTAAATACAATTTTTACCTGTTTTCTCAACTCAGTTTAAAAAAGAATTGACGAAAAAAAGTAATTTCTACAAATTTTGCTCTCTATCTTTTTTATCTTTTAACTCACGCGTTGAAAAAGTATATATACAAAATTAACGCGATACAATTAAAAAATGTGCTTACAAATAACTATACATATCACCAGGATTGAAGTGAGCTTTTTTTCAAGAAAATATATCAGCTGCAACAAATTTCTGGAGGGAATTACTTTTCTTCTTTTTTAATACATTGCACTTAAAAAATAAGCATTATTGCATTGTAGACGTTCTATAATATATTATAATCAGAACTAACAACTCTGGTGGAAGTTTCGAGTACTAAACACAACAACAAATCCTTCAAGTTTTCTTAAGGGCATTCACAAGTCCAGCACATATCAAAATTCTCTTATTTTTCACAAATAGAGCTTTTCAAAAGTGCCAAAAAATAGCACCAAAAATATCAAAACGCCCTTAAAAAACTAAAATTGACAATTCGTCTAAAAAGAATGTTTCAACTCTTCGGAAAATTTTGTTGAAATTTTACTGATGAAAAACTTAGAAACAACAATTTAACAGTCTTTAGTTTTGTGAGTTGATAAAATTCCAAACAATTTTTTCAAACCAGAGAAAAAAATAGAAAAATTGAAACTTCCATTCAGAGTATATTTTTCAACATATTAATTAAGTATTGGAATTAAAGAAGAATTATTATTGACATGTAAAATATCACGTAGAGTTACTCCGATAATTTTCTTCGATAAATGCAAATCTGAAGACTAATATTATTTAATTCTGAATTTATAAGGCACGCAAATAAAAGACGAGACCAAATGAGTGAAAAAATGTATAAATTTATAAATTCGACATTTATCATTGAACTTTGTATTGCACTTTGGAAAAACAATTTTTCTGTTTTTAATAGAATAGAATAACTAGCGAACTTTTTGGGAAGAATTTTTGAAATGTTGCAATTTTATTTTATAGGTAAAAATAATGTTTTTGTATTTTATTCTTTTACTAAAATTTACTTTATAGTAAAAGATCTCTAATATAATTTTTTGCCCATTTTTTAAAATTTTTACTATTTTCATATTACCAAAATCTTAATTATATCCAAAAATAAATTTTACAAAAAAAATGTTTAATAAAATTTTTTAATTTTTACTTTGAAAATATTAAATTACTAAAAAGGAACAAAAATTTTAGTTACACAAAAAACAAATAGAGTAATTTTTTAGTAACTTCTTAACTATTTTTTTTGTGGTTATACTTTGTACCTTTCTGAAATTTTTATGCAACTTCTGGATTATCTTGACTATTTTTGAAACTTTACTACATCCAAAATAAATTTTACTAAAATTTACTTTAAAAATACTAAAATTTTCTAAAAACGTGTAAAAAATTTAGTAACATTTTTTTCCAACTTTTTGACTATTTTTGACTATTTTCGATATTTTTACTACATTCGAAGTATATTTTACTAAAACTTACTTTGGAAATAATAAAAGTTGCTAAAAGCGAGTAAAAAATTAAGGTAGTTAGGTACTTTTACTACGTTCATAGTAAAATTGAAACTGTCAGGAATTTTTTTTCAATTTCTTGACTATTTTTACTAAATTCGAAGTACATTTCAATAAAATTTTGATTTAAAAATAATAAAAGTTGTTAAAAACATGTAAAATTAGTAGTAAAAGTTATTTTATTCTTTTTTTTCGTAAAAAACAAAATTTAAAAAATCTCTGTAAACTTTGTCTAACTTTTATATTTAATAATAAAAAACAATGTTAAACAATAAATTAAATTTCTTTTTAGATTTTCAACATATGTAAAATTTTTTATTTTAAGTCTTGAAAAAAAGATTCTACTATTCTGCCAGTGTGTATTTTGCAAAACAATAGCAACAAAAAAATACAAAAAATATTTTTTTACCCACAAACAAATCTGACATTTTTTGAAAAACTTCACCAGTTTAATTATTGACTCACAATACTTTTTGAAAGTATCAAATTGATGACAAAAATTAGGATCAATTTTTTATTTGATCCACATATTTTTGGTATCAATTTATTGCAATTTGATATTATTAAGTTAACAGTGCAAAAAATGATAATTCTTCGATTATGTCAATATTTTCCAGTTCAATAATAATGTGAAAAATTAAATAATAATATCGTAACAGTGAACAATTTTTTTTTATGTTTTCAATATAAAAGGGATTGTATCGTTAATAAGATGATGACTTATTTTATAGCGAATAGCAATAGGTAGTAAAAGTATGGTTGCTGTATTAGATGAGATAAGATTAAGCATAGTTTTTTTTTGTTTTACCAGCAACCGCAGCAGTAAATATAATTACACAATAATTTTTTTTCAATGCAGCAATGACTGATATACAGCTAATTGTTTTTAAATCTTTTTTTACACAACTTATCATCTAACCGTATAACATTTTTTTTCTTCATGAATAATATATATATTTATATTTATATAAATGCCTTATCTCTCCTAATTTATTTACAATATTTCGTATAGCCGGTTTACTTATTTGTTATAACTATATGTCAAAAATGCGTATTTACATGTAGAAATAAATGTCGTTTGATGAAAAGTACAATTCATCAAAAAAAAGTTTTTCTTCACTTATGATTCTTTTGCAGAATTCAGTTTTAACTTAATATTTTTGAAGAAAATTTTAATACTGACTGGTTAAGTAGCGACCTCTTGAAATATTAGTTTACTCACAGTTGGTAAAAGACTTTTTTTAGGAACAATTCAAACAATCCAAGGGTTCATTTTTGATAAGCTCTAGGGATGCTCTCAGATAGGCGTCGGTAGTACAGTAAAGTCTTGAAGAGCAGTCTTTACAGTTTCGTATATCGGCCGTTGGGAATCGTCGGCACAATATCCATCAGCGGTACACAGGGTCTGTAATTTTGTGAGATAACTGTCGAAATGTTCGTGGCCAATTTTCTCTGGTGGTCCACTTGGAGTATTCGGAATTCGTACGTGTTCTAGGAGAGTTATCATATTCTCCCGCAGTGATTGATAATAGTCGTTGAGATTATTATTGCGTTGGGTTATCATCGAAGACTCCTGAAATAAAAGAGAGAAGAAGAGGGATTAAAAACTGAATTACTGACTGATGGTAATTTGATAATTGATGGATGGGTAAGTTATTGACGTTTGGTAAAATATTGAGGGTATTAAAATTATTTTTATAACCAGCAGATGGTCTTTTATCGACCGAGCAAACTCACCTTGTCACCGTGCTTCAGTTGATTCTCCATAGCGGTAATATCAGAGCGCAGGCGCAAAACTTGGGACTCGACACGGGCATTCTCTCTCTGGAGCTCTGTTATCTCAGCCTCCAGTGTGTAGAGATCTTCACCCTGAACACTCGTGCCTATGCTACCGCTTGTGTTCAACTGACCAGTACCCATCGTACCACCCTGACCTGGACCACCGGCATCCATCCCTATGAATCATAAGCTCAGATTTAACATCCAACTGATGACAATTTCTCAAACGTCCATTTTATCCCTTTCTAGTCAATTTTTAGCATAAAGTTACCTAATTTCTATTTTTATTTACTTCTTTTCTATCTCTTTCTACTTCTTTCTATTTATTTCTATTTATTTCTACTTATTTCTATTTCTTTTTATATCTTTCTACTTCTATCCAATTCTTCCTACTTTTTTCTATTTTTTACTATTTCTTTACATTTTATTCTAATTTTTCCATTTCTTTGTATTTCTCCCTATTTCATTCTTTTTCTATTTGTTTCTATTTGATACTATTTGTTTCTATTTCTTTCCATTTTTCACTTCTTTTGATTTATATTCTTTCTTCACTTTTCTATTTCTTTACACTTCTTTCTACTTTTCAAAATTTTTTTTTCTCCCTTTTATTTGTTTCTACATCTTTCGACTTCTTTTTACTTTTTTAATTTCTAATCTTCCCGAGTTTTGAAACAGAAAACAAATTACTTAGTTTTTGAAAAATTGAAACTTCCCGCCTTTTTTACATACGACTCGAGTCAAATTTATCTCCTTTACATTCAATCGAATATTAATACGGTTATTAAATTTATTCTAATTTATTTTAATTATTTTTAATTTTTAGAATTTATTTTATTGCAATTTGTTTTTGATTAGAAAAAGAGTTCAGAGTTGAAGCCCCTTGATGCCCTACTGTACCCCCTTAATTCTAAACTAACGCTTATGAACCCAACTTTTTGTGCGATTAAAACAGTTTTGCAACTGATTTAATATTTTTTAGTTTAAATTAATTTTCGAATTCTTTCGGTTTTAATCACACAAAGCCTTGATAACAAATGAATCGGCAACGAATCTTTAAAGAAACTCCGCTAATTATGAACTAAATGTTTTTAAAGAAGAATTGGACAAATTTTCTATTTTAAGTTGATATGAATAGTATTTAAAAATAATTTAAAAAATAATTTTTATTCAATAAAATAATTGTTGAAATTTAAAATAGTTTTTTTCTTTGGAAATGCTTTGGAATACTTAAAATAACTTTTTTAATTTAAAGAAAATGAACAATTTTAATTTCAAATTTTTTCAATAATCTAAAAATTTTCTTCTATTTTTCAGTAAATTGTTATATTTATTAATTTTTTTGTTATTTATTATTTATCTCCAGTTTTGTTGTGGAAAAATTTTTTTTATTGAAAATGTCCAATTCTGTCTTTATCGAACCTGTGTAACTAGAGTTCTACTTTTATGTGCGCAGCAAATTAATTTTCAATTACAAACTATATAGTAATTATTTCACACCAAAAAAAGGCCAAAAATCGCAAAGATGATATAATGATTTGAGAACAAGTGTGCGAGCGAAGGCGAGAAAAAATATATTTACAGCTAGCAGGAGTGGTGAATGGTTTTTTTTCTCAATTCCCACTGCAAATTGTAACTACGATTAAAAAAAATTTAACCAAAAAGTTTTCTATTCTTAAATTATTTAACTTTTTTCGACAAGAAAAAAATGTATTTTTACTAATCTGACTTATTTAAAAAAAATAGTAAATAAAAAAATTCGAAAATTATCCTGAAGATACAATTTATTCTCTATTGTAGAAAAATGACTAAAGAAGGACTTAAAAATTACCAGAAAATGGCATAAATATTTTTAAAAAATGACTTGAAAATTACAAAAAAAATAACTTAAAAAACACCATAAAAATGACTAAAAAAATAATTGAAAAAAATTTGCGGTGGAAATTCTTAAGGAAACTCGGGAAAGAGCGTGAGGTGCCATCATACCAGAAGAAGAATAAATGGAGGATTTTTTTTCCAAATGTTGGTTTTCTGTGTGACAGACAAATGGCGTGAAAATAATTTTCCAAAAAAAAGACTTCAAATAAATTTTCAAATTTCAATTACTTAACCAACACTTGAAAGCATTTATATTATTTTTGAATTATATATAAAAATTTAAAAAACACTCGTGTGTGGATTCTGTATGTAACACCGAAAGACACATAAACAAGTGGCGAGTACGTCAGTCCCTTACCTTCAACAGTAAAAGTTCTCCTCAAAGCTCAATGACAGGAAAGGAGCTGATCGTGATCCCAGAATAAATCAGAATATATTATTTTCATCATAATGGCGTCTGCTCGATTACGTTTATAATTTTTTTTTAAAGTTAAATATTAGGAATTTGGTATACGCGAGAGAAGAGAAAGAAAGGCAAAAAGAATTAATACAAATAGAAAATAATTGAATTAACATTATTCTAAATAGTTGTTTTCTTCATTCGAGATTCTGTGCGCGCGACATGAGGAAAGTGAGGAGGGGGAGATGACGCGCATGCGCGAAACGACGCTATCCCCACTCCCTACATGCGCGCGCACAGAAACTCTCGAATAAGGCTAACAAAACTAGAATGATATTAAGCCGATAATGACAACAAAAATATTCACAGTCCAGGTGTTCTGTTAATTAATTATTTATTTATTATTTACTATTTAATGTTAGTTAATATTATTTAATTTTCTTACTTTTACTAATAGTAAAATAAATATTCGAAATAGTGAACAAAAATTTCTCCTCACACCTGAATTGTGAAGAAACGATTGTGAAAAAACAAATGTGATGGTAAGGAGGGATACATAAAATATAAAGAAGATAGGAAATAAGGGAGAGGTGATTCTCATTGGTATGACAGCACATCTTTGCGTGGAGAGCATAGTGCAGAGCATGGCATAGCACAAGGTCAAGAACAAGGTTAAATATATTTGCACAATTTAATTCTCATTGTATTGAAAATAATTTTTTTCCCAAAAATTCGTTCAGGTGTTTGAGTCTGATTAAAAAACACTTTCAATTGTATTTTTTTTTGTCTTTAGACTCTTTTTTCTTTTTATTATTTGTGCAAGACGTTTTCTTTTTTCTTAAACATGCACCACTATGAATTGGACGTTAAAAAAGGGGGAGGAAGCAGAAAATAAGAAAAGCTGCTTTCTACGAGAAAAAAAACCTTTCTCTACCTCGTGCTGATAAACCAACGACCATTATCCCAATCAATGGGTTTCGAAATCATTCAATAAAAATTTTATAAATACACAATAGGAGTAGGTTCTGATTATAAAATATAGTTCCAATAAAAAAAAATTGTAATTTACACTTGGAGTGTGATTTCGAATGAACTTTTCGATTTTTTTTCTTGGATTTGGTGATAAATGTCAATGGTTAAGAGTACAAGGGGTTTTTTTAAGTTAAGATTTTAACTACGTTCTCTCACCGGTGATTCCTTTGCTGTACATCGCCATGTCCTCGAATTTAGGCTTCTTCACCGCATGTCCTGCTATTGGACATCCTGATAGTGATCTGTGTGTTGAAAATGAACCGTTAATGTGACCAATTCCATCGCAACCAGGTGTTGGACAATTGACACCTTCGAATTTCATTGCAGGCGCTGCTACCACTGCTTTATGCTGCTCGACACTACCGCCCGATTCCAGTACTCGCAATTTTTGTCGATTCGCTATTGGACAACCGGATGCACTACAACAGCAATTTTTTTTCTTTTCTTATTTCATACTCCAGGGAAACTATTTTTTAGAAAAAATATCTCTTATCAGAAGAGTAGAAAGTGTGTTCCAAAACAAAAAATAATCTGTTCCCAACAGCAACCGGATGTTCAAGGTATTTGGAAATTAGGATGTCTCTAGGATGTCTATAGATACCTTAGGGAAATCCTAATTTTCGGTTAGACCTAGAGACCTAGAAATAAATTTAGAAATAAACAAAAATAAACGTTTTGTTTACATTTATTTTGATAAGAAATTAAAATGTTGGTCAATGTTTTTATTGATATTTGTCTTCTTAATGTTTATCTCATATATCTTTACTTCTTTATATTTATCTTTCTTTTCTTTTTTTTCAAGAAGAACAAAATTTCTTGAGGGAGAAAATGGTGGTTTAATTTCTCCACTTGAGAACGCCAAGGTCACCACCAGGTGTCAGAAGAAATTCCAAGAAGGAACTAAACTGCCATCTAGCAGTGACCGTGGGGTTCGCAGGTGGAAAATAGCAGCTCCATATTGAATCTAAAAATGTTTGTGAATATTCGTCATTCTATAATTATTTATAATCAAATATTGAATGTAGAGAATTTGACACTTAATATAAACGGATTTCAATTTTGAATTCACTTTAATTTCTGATAATTTGATATTGTAATTTTTTTAGCTTTATCTTCAGTCTTAAAAGAAATATCCGTTGCTGTTTGGTTTTTTGCTTTTCATTTTCTTTTCGAACGAAACAAAATGACACTTGATAAGAAATTTGTTTACCTGCGATGAGACAAAAATTTTCCGGTAGCATGACCAGAACCATCACACCCTGGGATGGGACATCTGGTATTCCATAATATACATAGAGAGAGAATCCATAGAGGGAAAGCGTGAAATGAGCGAAAACCGCGAGATATTAGTCAGTGCCTTTCACCCCAATTCGATTTGGGGAAAATGTAATTAATTTTCCTTCTAGTTTAAGGAAACTCAGTTTCTCACACCGCTTAACGGAAGTATAGAAAAAAAATTGCTTCTTCATATTTAAAAAACAGAAAAAAAATCCAATTTTGCTAATTTTTCAGAGCAATACTGAGATTATTGCAGTAATATTGCAGAAATATTGCAACAGTAAAACAAAAACAAAAAATTACTCTCAATATACTGACCTCAATGGTTCGGAATCTTGACCATCGCGAGGTTTACTCTTCGGCTTATTTGCTCTCGGACATCCCGATAAACTCCTGTGGGAGGAGTAATTACCAGTCACATGACCAGAACCATCGCAACCAGGTGTTGGACATTTAAGTTCTTGCGAATGCGCTTGAATTTGTGATCGATCGGCTCGCGGACATCCAGAGAGACTGTAAAGAAATAATGGACCAGATCTATCAGGAATAAATTGATCGTGACAATAAATTTTTTAATAAACAATGACGAACAAAACGCTGAATATGTATTGAAGAAAATTTATATCACTCAATTTTCCAATATCTCATTCATTACATTTTTTTGTTTCTTATATTTAAAAATACAGTCACGTCAGCGCATTCTTCTTCATCACAAAAATAATAAAGAAGCGAAATACACACCTCACGAACTGATATATATATATATATATAATATTCACATGCACATCTCGCGACGTTGCCAATGATCGAAACATAACAGCTAAAAATTTCACGACATTAGCATAATTTTTTGTTATTTTAATTTAAACTTTCGCTATTGCAAAGAAACTTATCGCTGTTCCAGGTAAAACGTTTTTTTCGTGTAGTAATTTTTTTAAATCTTTTTTTTTGTAGTCGGAAGTGGAAAATCAGGTTGATAATAATATTATTAAAAAAAATATTTTCTTTTTATAACATTGTGATATTTTTCCTAACGAATCGCACGGAATTATGAAAAATGATAATGATGATGAAAAATATAATTATGGCAACGTCGTGTTCGGTTCAATCGTGAGGCGTCGCTTTTTTGTAAAAAAGAAAAAAATGAATCGTAAAATTTGAAGGTGAAAATTAATATGACTAAAACTACTGAATGGGAGAGCAGGGAACACACACTCACACCTGACCCCAGTGAAACTATCGCCAATTGTAAATATTAATTAATTTATTTTCTTTAAAGCATCTATAATAGACGAAAATAGGATTTAGAGCTATTTAACGTTATCGATCATCTTGAGTCCGTTATGACATGGTCAATTTTCGCTACAATGCTGCCCACTCGAGGCTGGCAAAGTGTTTCGAGTACATCGCCAGGAATTCGTGCTATTATAATGAAACTACATTCTACTGAGTAACCATTTTCTTTTTCTTAAATCTCGATATTTTTTCATATTTTAATATAAAAATAAACTCTTAAAAAGTTTTAAAAAAAAATTTATTTGTTATCTACTTTTTATTTACTTATACACTGAAAACAAAATCTATTTGATTGAAATAACCGATACCTATTTTCAAATAAATATTTACTTGAATCAGATAAATTTTTGTCAGTGTATTTTTTGTTTATTATATTTACTTACTATTTATTAAAAATATTGATACCAGAAAGCTGTGTTGGGATCAATTTGATATTTTCCAGAAAGCTGTGTTATTCTTTACTTAATATTTATTAGTTTTTGATTATTATTTACTTAATATTCACTTATTATTTACTTAATTGTTTTCTTAATATTTACTTATTCTTTTCTTAATTTTTTATTAGCAACTTATTATTTATTTACTGAACCAAAATTAATCAAGATCTATTTATTTTGAAATAGCTTTAATTTAAAATAAAGAAACATTTGAAATATCGTTTCAATAATAAAATTCAAAGAAAAAGTTGTGTCAGATTGCGCGCGCAGCTTCAATAGCTAGAGTGGGGATGACGCATTCCTCTCGCTATCCCCACTCCCTGTATGCGCGCGCAAATTCTCTCGAGAAATATTAAAACAACGGATGGAGTGCTATTTGTATTTTTTAAAATTTTAATTCGAGAAAAATATAAAAAACATTCGAGATTTAACTATTAAAATGTTTTCAGTAATAGTGACATTTTGATTTACGATTTTGTCATCCCTTTTCTTAGGGGTCGGGTCTAATGGAAAGGAGACGATATTGTCATTCAACACGAAACTTATCTACACATCTGATACAATTATATAAATTATAATCGTTACGAATGTAAAATATACACAAATAGAGACAAAAATGGGAATAATAAATGTAGAAAAAATATGTTTAATTTAAAAATGTGTGCGCTGGTACGTATGCGCAAGTATACAGAGTGCTTCGTTTATACGATTTACTTTGTCATTCTTATTTATTTTATTATTATTGCTATTTTGATATTTTTTATTATTATGATCACAATTACACAGGTCAACAAAAAAAGACTTACTTTTTTTTATGAGATAGCGGAATGGTTTCCTATGTATTTTTGGACGCTGAACACGATCCCGACTTCCAAATTTGCCCATCACGTCAGGATTTTGAGAAAAGTGGGGGTAAAGACCCCAAAAACGCTTTTTTGAGGATTTTCAACATTTCTTTTCTCTTTAACCTGACGTGCTAGAGACTTCCACAAGGTCTTAAATTAAAGTTTGTAATGTGCACTACAAGACCAATATCCATAAAATAAAAAAAAATTAAAATTTTTTTCAAAAAATGGGGTTGAAGACACCAAAAATTTGTGTTTTTGGATTGCTTTAATAGACTTCTTGCAATCGCTTGGATTCGCTTGAAAATGGGTACTTGGGGTTTTTGGGGTCGCTGATTACGAATCCAATATTTGTTTGCAAAAATTTAAAACGGCGAAACCAAGATGGCAGATGTAAAAATTAAGAATTGCTTGGATTCGCTTGAAAATTGTTATTTCAGGGTTTTTGGGGTCGCTGATTACGAATCCGCCATTTTTAATTTTTGCAAACTAATATCGGATTCGTAATCAGTGACCCCAAAAACCCCAAGTAACCATTTTCATGCGAATCCAAGCAATTGCAAAAAGTCTATTAAAGCAATCCAAAAACACAAATTTTTGGTGTCTTCAATCCCATTTTTTGAAAAAAAATTTTATTTTTTTTTATTTTATGGATATTGGTCTTTTAGTGCACATTATAAGCTTTAATTTAAGACCTTGTGGAAGTCTCTAGCACGTCAGGTTAAAGAGAAAATAAATGTTGAAATTTCTCAAAAAAGCGTTTTTGGGGTCTTTACCCCCACTTTTCTCAAAATCCTGACGTGATGGGCAATTTTGGAAGTCGGGATCGTGTTCAGCGTCCAAAAATACATAGGAAACCATTCCGCTATCTCATAAAAAAAAAGTAAGTCTTTTTTTGTTGACCTGTGTTATTAGTATGTTACCCTATTTATAATAACATTATTATATTACTACATCTGTAATAATAATTTTAGCAATAATTATTAATTACCAGGATATAATAATAGTAATACTAATTTTAATTGTTACATAGTAATAATAATAATTGTTATAATAAAAAATAAGCTATGATTAAAATAAAAATAATAATTATTATTATTCGTAATAATATTAGCATATTACATTACTAACTACACGGAAAAACCTTTGAGAAGTCTGCCTTCCCACTGTCACAAAATTTCGCCTCTTACTGCAAGGAAAGTCTGATCGCCCGCCACTGGGTGCGTAGCATTACCGTTTTCGATAGACAAACTTCCCAAAAAGTTTAGAAAATTACAACTGGGTACGTTGGTCACCCAGTTTGGGAGTGCAGATGAACAAGTTTAGTGGTGGCGCTGACGCATAAGTTTCGGGTGAGCAGACTGCTTAAAGGTTTTTCCGTGTATATTATTACTATTTACTATTTTTATGAAAATATTTATCAGAATTTTGTAAGTTCAATTTTTTTAAAATTATCAACTTTTAGGTAACACTCTGTATACAGTTTTGTTTTTCTTTTTGGTTTCGGCTGTATTGTTTTGCAAAACACTTAAAAAGCCACTACGCCACGGATCAACAATACTCATTAATGCATTGACAAATCGCTTTTTAATCTTGATTATATTCCTATTTTGTTGAGTGTAAGCATAAATTTTTTTTCGGAGCAATGCAAAAAAAAATTAATGATAGTAAAACAGAAATAAAAACTGATTTTAAATTAACGTGAGGTTATGTTTGAGAAAAATGCGCGCGCCTATCGTAATGTGGCAGGGAGTTACCCCCATCTTTCTAAAATGGCGCATGCGCCCAATAACCTAGGACGCTAATTTAAATTACAGTTTCTAGTGTTTGTTAAACTGTTTAAAAAAAATTGTTTGTTAAACAAAATTGTAATTAATTATTATGTTCGAAAGAAAAATTGCTTTAAATGTCAATTCTATTTTTTTAAATAGTGGAAAATTTGTTGAAAATTGTTGCGTGTGTACGTGCGTGTCAATGTCAATTTTTTTGATGTTAAATTGAATGCCTTGCCTTCTGTGGGTAGCGTAGTTTCCCGAGATATGACCCATGCCATCACAGGACGACGTGGGACACTGAATCAGCTCCTTGCCATCGCGACCACGAGGGGCGGGCCGAGGTGCAATATTCAATGATTGCCTCCTCATATTCATACTGCATCGAACACATTTAACAATGAACAGAAAACCCTTCTAAGCTTATTGTTCATCATCACTTTTTCGCGTTCACCCATTCATTAAATTCATACAATGCAAAAATTAAAAGTCCCTACACGAAAAGTCTCTTATTTTGTAAATTTAATTTTCGACTTTTTTTTCTCCCATGGCAAAAATAAATAGTAAGAAAAGTTTTATTTGGAGAGAAATGTTGAAAGTTTTTGGTAGTAGTGGCGGCGGTGGCGCGAGACAATATGAAAAAAAAGATTGAAAGTGCAAGGGGTGTAGGCAGAAGGAGGATACGTGGTTAGCTTGCAGACTACTAAACTCCTACTTCTCGCGGGTCTCGTAGATAGGAGAATCGAGACTATGAGAAAAGCCCCGAAACCTCGATGACCCTTGAGTGGGCACGATATTGCCGGAAATCCCAACCCACCAACTCGGGGACTTGAGTGCAATCACGCTGTGCGTACCAAACCTCTTCTTCTCCAACTCAATGTTTCCAACCGTCTAACTGTTTTCACCATTCCCTCTAAAGCCACTTAAACTTTGATCTTTTCAATCTCAGCATTCGATGCATCTCACTGTTTACCATCGTGCTTAGATTCTCTGGATTATCTTCTCTTAGCTTTTACTCTTATCATCATCAACTAACAATTTTGATACTTGAGAAATTAATTTCTTTTCGGATTAATTTTTCAATTACTGAAAGAAAACCAGCTGATGAAATAAGCAGATTGTTAAAACAAAAGATGACGTAGATAAACCTTTTCAGATGAATTTATGAGCTATTCTTAAAAAATTAACTGATAAATTTATTTCTTTATAAATAAAAACAGAAACAACAAAAATACGTTTCCTAGGTGAACATCTGAGCTATTTTCAATCATCCCATTGGAAATTCCTTTCTTTATTTAAAAAATAATATTTTCCGAAGTCAAAATATTTAAATTCTTCTCTCTTGTAAACTGAACTCAAATCGATCCAATAGTCTTACACGTGGGCAACAGAAATCAAATCTGCTAACTGTTTAAAAGATGCCAAGCTTGCCGAATTAGTCACTCCAAGAACCGCCACCAAGTTAACAGTTGTAAAATGTCACCAAGTGTCTCCTTCGAGTCCAGTCTTGGAGTCTTGATTTTAGCTGGCCTAAAACCATTCTGAGGAAAACATCTAGTTTCATTTTTCTGTAACTCGTCGTCAAGGTCATTTTTTAAAAGGTAAAAATCTGACACTCTCTTAATAACAAATCTGATTTAAATTCCGAAATTGATTCCTTACAAATTTCAGTGTTTCAGTGTTTCAGTGTTTCCAATAAGACTTCTGGATCTATCTACTCTCAATTTAAAGGGTTCAAATAAATAGTTGTAATATCTAAATTTAAATACTGACAGTTTTTCTTTTCATTAACCTGTACCATGAATATCAGAGCCTTCAGCTCTGTGAATAAATCAGGATGTACCACAGATGCGGACATTAAAGAAAATATAATTATTATTATGTTTATTCTCTTTAATGAAACGTAACACTTTATATAAAAGAACAAAAAATAAAGGTTTTCTTTGTGAACGTCTGAGGTATTCTCAAACATTCAACTGATTTTATTTCCTTTCGATTTCATCAATCAAATGAAGGAAAGTGAAACTGACAAAAAAAAGAAAATAATAATAGACTCTTAGGTGAGTTTTCAATAAACCTTTTTTCTTTATCCCTCAGATTGTTCGATCTTGAGAGAAATAAATTACGATATCAAAAGCTGGTTCAACTACTTCAGACTATCCGATAAACGGCGAAAGAGTAATTCGCTTGGATCGCGAAAGTTGCTATATTAGATTCTTATATTGGTTGGAGCCATTAATAATCTTGAAGAATTGCCATAAGTTACAACGTCCCTCTATTTTGTCTGGGGTAGCATTTCTTTTCGATGCTATTTTAATTTTCAAGAAAGACTCCTTTTCGAGAGGTAATTAAACAAATTTTCCTTTTTTTAATTGAAAAATAAAAATGTGTATTTAATTGCATTTTTAGCGATGCAAAAATTTATAAAATTGAAAGTCCTTCTAGTATATTGTATATTCTTAGGAGTCAATTTGTGACATTCGAACATCTACCTAATTCAATCGCAGATCCATCTTTCCCATTGTTTTAATCTTCTCGACTGCATTTTAATATTTCTTGTCAAAAGAATTTTTACGAACAAATATAAAAATATTCCAAGAAGCCCTGAGGTGTAGGTTATTTTTTCATTTTAAAGAAAGTTACAAAAACTTTGGCTTATAAGTACAAAAATATCCTGAGAAGCCCAGAGGTCTAAAAAAATTAAAAAACGCTAGGGGTCGTAAAGTGGGATCCCCCTTAGATTAAATAGCATTTTTTTCCATACAAACGGTGTTAGTTTATTCAACTAATTTCTTTGCAATAAGGCAACATACAAACAATACTTTTGTAAACTTTCACTAAATTTTTGATTCTGTAGAAAACATTTGCCTGTTTTTTTTGCTACGAGAAAATGAATAAAAAGTGATGATTTTTTTCCCTTTGGAAAGAGGGGATTAAATTCCGGACGAATACTTTAGAATTTGGACATCGAATTTCGATGAAGTTAAGGCTGCAAGGAGGGTGCAGAACAGGTTTCCAGCGGCTTGGAGGTGTTCCGGGGTCCTAACCCCGACGGGACGATGGGTTTCGCTCCATAATCCAGTGCGGTGGCAACTGATTATACCCCACCCTACCCTCCGACCTTATCCTTCCCTCGCCCAAGCCATCACCTCCGACCTCTCTTCTGTAACTCCCTCCCTCCCCTCCCCCACTCATCCCTTTTCCTCCGCTTGCCATACCACCGAGCTTTACGTCAATTAGAATAAGGTTGGCACTTTCGCTACGAAGAGTAATTACTTTAATTAACAAAATGGAGGTAGGTATGCGCGCCTCCGCCGACTTAACCGCCTCCTCGACTACCATTTGCGAAACGTGCGAGAATCGCGCGAATCCTTTTCCTAATTTTAGCAAACGAATAAACAACCTCACATGCATTCTATGCTTTCGATTCACCGGAATCAAAATTTACATGTCTGAAATTTTTATTTCAGTGGTGAAAATTTAATGGTGAAAACCTTTTGAAATAAAGATTTTGGAAGGAACGTTTCGTTCTTTTCCAGTGAACCGAATTTATGAAAATTGTCGAATCGAATAAACCTAGGAGTGGAGAAAATTTACGTACCTGTCGTCCTTGCCGGATGGTTTGTCCAAAGGACCGAGGGTATGTTGCGGTGGTGGCATACTGTAGCAGGGGGCAGGAGTGTATCCTGCTGGAATTTGATAACCGGAAGTCACTGGACCGCCAGGATAGGTCCCACCACAATTGTAACTGGCTGCAGGATACGGAGTGTACGTATTCCCTGGATACTCGGCCTGGACGCCGGTCATTCCATATCCGGGATGTGGACTCATGGGACCGTAGCCTGTAAAAAGAAAATCTTTTTGTTTCTCCATTCTCCAATCTTCGCTTTAGAAATTACCTTCAATATTCGATCAACGACTCTTCGTCGAGAAAAAACAACGGGAACTTTTTTTTTACTTTTTAAATTAGAATTTTTTGTCATATTTCAGATTGTGTATTTCGTCTCTTGTGCTTTATTTCTTCTGGTGACTATAATGACTAGTGACTAAAAAAAGGCAAAATACTAGAGACTATTGGGATTGCGATTTTTTAATTGCCAAGGAACCAAATTCTCATTTAGTAGAAAAGTTCGAAATCGTCATCTAGATAAAAAAAACTTTCCAGGTATATTTCTGAGCTATTGTAATCAATTGTTTCTAACATCTAAGGTGACCTCAAACGCATTATCCAAGAAGGGTTCCCTGCTTGTAAGTGTTTCACGAAATGGGAGACAAATAGGGTTATCTAGCTGAATTTATGAGATTGTGAAATAAATCGTTAAACAAAATTTTTAATTTTTAACGGTGGTGAAGCATTTACCAAAACAGCAAGTAAATTCTGACAACTATTTCTTAGAGTGGGAATGTTACAAAATCTTTACAGGCGAATTCCTGAACTACTGTCATCAATAATTTGAACAGATTAAATAAATTAATTAATAAATAAAAAAAATTAATTAAAAGCAAATAGTTAATAAACAAAGAGAATAAATAAAAAAATATTTTTTATACAAAACCTGTTTCGAAAAACAAAAGAACAATTAAAGTACATCTAAAAAAAATAAATTAACAATAAAATAAAAATTTCCAATTCTTTTTAATTTTAATTATTAATATTCATTGTGAATAAAAACACTTTTGCGCAGTAATCCTACTTCATTTGTAAATTCGTAACAAGAGGATCGTACAAATAGAGTTGGAATGTAGCGTCCCTTTCCAATTTTTTTTTTATTTTTGCATCAGAAAAAGAAGAATTTAACGAGACATAAAAATAGCGGGTGTCTTTCACATAGAGAGACACACGCACACACGTGAATGTACGATTGACACAGAGATGGTAATACAAGTGGCATTCTGAAACGATGTCAGCGCGTTCGTATGTTTCAATTTCAATAACTGCTCCCTGGCGTCAGGAGCGAACCGCTGGACTTTTGCTGGCTTCGTGTACGCGAAATATTGATAATTAACAATGCCCGTGTACCGTTGAAGAGATGGGGGTTGGTGTACAACGTGAATGTAGACGGAATGCCAAGGCACGATGAACAAAATGAGTGAGAGAGAGCGAGATAGAGTTGGGCATAGATGCCTCTTATGGGACTCGTGTACCATTTCGCTGAATTTTTATTTGGCAGTTGTAACCGCGTACGCCCTCAAGGGAAACGTCGAGCTCTTTGTTCTATTCTGATGCCTCCAACTGTTTCAAAAACCCCCTCACACCATATTCTCGATAACCATCCTCCCATGTCAATGCGCAACAATTCGCTCGCGTAATATCGAAAACTTTCATTGCGTTAGAAAAGTAATATTGAAGTATTTTTTTGCTGGCAATTTTTTTTCAAGTCGATGGAATTTACTCTTTTGAGAACTTCTGAAATAATCTTTATATACAAAGAGAAGATATGCAAATTAGGTAATGGAAGACATTCTCATGTTATTTATTTTAGAAAGAGTGGCGCGTTCAGTAAAACAAAAATCAACCGTAACAAAGACGAAATTGATTATAACTTGTGTCACAGGCTAAGTGCGTGCCCATTTACTAAGTATAAAAGGACCCAAAATTGGAACCACATATTCAGTATCGATATAGCAGCAGTATCTAATTGCCAAGTAACCGAATTGTGAAAACAAAAAATTGGCAAAGTAAAACTTTGGAATGGAATCGTCATTTAGTGAAATCGAGGGAGGGGAACAATTTTTATTTTTATTATTTTGCCTCTTAAAAATAACTGACAAGTCGTCTAGAGACAACAAACTCGGTTCCAGTACCGAAAACTCCATAAATACCCAGTCAAATAAAGTAATGCCCATCGAGTGTGACTTGTGTCAATTACCAGAAGATTAAAAAGGTGCTGCTCTTCCTAACATCTAAGGCGACCTCAAACAAATTACCCAAGAACGGGTCTCTGCCTTCTAATATGTCTAATAAAGATAAATTGATTATAAAATTCTTTACTACAATTCCTTTATTTTCTATGTAACTAATAAACGCCAAATTCTTTAAGGAGGTTCGTTAGTCTAATGGAAACTAGTTTCTTTTCAGGAATTAAGATTCCGTAAGATTCATTTAAACATTGCTTGCCAGATTTCTTGACGAACGTTTTCTTGTATCACCCTACAACGTTAAAATTTTCTTGAAAGAGAATATGACAAAATCCGAATGGTAACATTACGCTGATTTCCAGAGTGAAAACCCTCTTACTTCTGGTCCTTAAGAATGAAGAGGTGTAAGGATCAGGATATTAGGAAGCTGTTAGGAAAAGCTATCTTACAATAGTTTACGGTTAGATTACCTGTCGGATCTCTGTAGGCGTCCATGTAGTGGGAACCCCCACTGTCAGGTGTGCTCTCTCGACTGTAAGCAGCATGCACCCCAGGTGGTGGAAACCCTGGAACTGGCCTGATCCCGGGACCTCCACTGAAATTAACAGGTTCATTAGCCGTGGAGAAATCAACAGGTTCAGTTTGCTCCTCAATTGGTCTAGGAGCGGGAAAAGGTGGACCGACAGGAACTGCGACAGCCTCGCCATGGGCGGTTGAGTACTGAGGACTAGGCGCCCCACTGTAAGCAGTAAATATTCATTTGTTGTGCTTAACTTCACAACCCATTTTTTTTTGCCGGAGTATATTAGAGAAATTCTTTGTATTGAAACTAACCTATGCAATCTATTTACGCTGAGATCTAGGGTCTGCCCTTGAGGACTCGGTACTTGTGGACTGGCGGTTAGATGAGGACTAGCGGCCGCTTGCGGACTTCCTCCTACTGTCTGTCCTCCTCCATACTGAGGACTAAGGCTATTGGATCCGTACGGTGGGGCCTGGATTTAAAAAAATATTTATTAGACACAGTCTTCTTAGAAGACAAGTAGTTATTCTTCTTAGAAGTATTATTAATATTAGAAAGTATTATCGATATATTTTTTGTTTCATTGCGGTTATGTAATTGTTACACTTTACACTGGGAGATCTTTTGGACTGCAGGAATTACGAAGGTGACAGCAACTCTACCTGTTATCTGTTTTGGTTCGCTGACTAATGTTTGTTGCGTGACTGTCGATGAGTATCTCACCGTAATAGTGGGGACGACACCTTTGGTTTCTACGTGAACAGCTGGCGTCGCCATTATTACCGTGAAAACTTTTTGATATACTAAAAATATGTCAAGTGCCGTGCAATCTCAATCGTCTAATAGTGGAGGAACTCTAGTTTAGTTGGTTTACGATCTCAATTCGGAAAATCTATGTCGGTGGCGCTGAACACCCAAGATTTAGACTCCAAACATTGGGACTGCAATAGCCAAACCTTGGTCGATCAGCACGCAAGTGAGAAGTATAGCTCTTCCGAATTAAATTCGTATCGCTCGTGAACTTTCGGTCTACTTGGAACGGCTCGTCACCCAAGATTTTTTCTCGTGTAGTCACGAAGCAGCAACCCGAAGGCTTGCCAAAAATGTTAGGAGACTACACGTCTCATACCATCAGATTGGACATCAGTTATCTTGTTGCTAATCGAATGTCTGCTGCAGACCAAAAGGTTTCCAGTGTACTTTAGCTATAATACTACTTTCGACTAATTGTCAAAATTGTTCTACAGAACGACTTAAAATTAGGAGTTCTCGCATTTACCTGGACCACCCGTCTAATGGGTTTTCTCGCCAGAGGAGAAGGAGGGTAGAAAACCTCTCTTGATTACAACCGGTTTTATCGATAGATACCGGTTTATCTGTCGATAAAACCGGTTGTAATCAGGACAGGTTTTTTGATAACGGTTTTATTATTATAACTGGAGAATAATCGACAGTGCACATCATTATACCTCATTGTCAAAACTCTGGCTTGATGGAACACTACTTAAAGGTAACGAAAACTATGGGAAGGGATAATTCACCTGTGGACTAGTGGAGGTGACACTGGAAGTGGAGAGGTCCATGACCGATCCTCCTGGCGATGTGGGTGGACCGCCGGCTTTCTGCATCTGCTGGACTTGAGCAACGGTGACACACTTGACTGTAGGAGAAGAAGAATTGGAATGTAGTGGACTCTGCGGAGGCTTCTGACTGAAATGATAAAGTGTATGCTGACCGTCTTCTGTTTTCATCATTCCTGCAGCCATGGCCATTTGATGTTGCTGGGCGGCTACTGCTTCCTGTTGATAGACCCTCTCCTGCTCCTCGGCAGTCATTCCGGATTGGCCTAGGTAGTACATATTCGCCCTGGAGTGCAACTGCTGCTGCTGTTGGGGTTGAATAGGCGCACATGACTGGGTGTCGTACCTGTCGTAAGCGGACGCAGTACCGGGGTCGTAGGGTCGGTGATTAGCGGCACTCACCACCACCGCATTCTCATAGCCTCTGGCTGTTGACAGTTCATTCGAGTAAGTGACAACAGGCCTGGCAATGTTACCCGAAGGATGCATGTAAGCTCTGGCGTGCTCGGCCGATCTGTGATGATAGAGGTCCTCGGTGGTGGTGGCTGCTGCCGCGGCCGCTGCAGCAGCTGCCATCATAGCCGACGACTCATAGGGAGATCTCTGCGACATTTGATGAGGCATCCTAGTGTCCTCCACCATCGGCATCGGGTACGCCACCGTCGGTTGCATCGGCAGCACATGGTGCGCGGGATGCTGACTAGGATGATGAATAGTCGCTCCCATTGTTCTCGAACCCATCGCGTCCATCGACGACATCGATGATGAATTTGAGTCCTGATTTAAATACGGATCGTACGTCTGTCTCGCCGACGGTGGCGGTGGTGGTGGTGGTGGTGAATTAACTCTACACGAGGACGTGTCCTCCGTTTTTGGTATCAATAATTCCGACGATTGTATTCTGCCCGTTAAGGCGTTACAGCAACTCGAACTTGAGGAATTATTTTCCGTTTTTGGTATAACTTTGTTCACTCTCGACGATGTGTCTTCTGGTGATTTTGGGGGTTTTATACTGATGCCAACAGATTTCGTTGACGAATAATAGTCGTAGGTTGGAGAACCAACAACTGGTTTTGTATCCTGAGATGCTGAATTATATTGAGAGTATATTTTTCCATCCATTGATGGTGGTAAGAGATTCGTACTGATGTATTCCGGAGGGATACCAGACACTGTTGGGGAAATAAAATCAGTTGTTTTAGTATATATTTTACAAATATGGTTAATGGCAAGCAAATATTTTTTGATCTATTTACATCCAAGTGTTAACAACAGATAGTTGAATATTTAATTTTCATTCCCATTTTACTTAAAAAAATGTGCAAAAACTGTAAGTTCTATTATTGTAAATTGAGGATACGAGGATATTAAAACTAAATTATGCATAATAGAAAAAAACTAGATTTGTGAACATAGTGACACAAAACCGTCCATCGGACATCTATCAGCAAGTGTTACAAATCTCTGATTCCCTCCCTACCGAACTAAATTTTCAGCAAGGAATTTAAATTCACCAATTAATAAATTTTTCCTATATTTTCCATATTTCACCATTTCTAGACTTACAGACAATAAGAGAGGTAAAAGGGCGAGAATAAAAGTGAGAGAGGCAAACAACAAAGTGTAGATAGCCACGATCGCTCTTATTATTTATAAGTCGAGTAAACCGATTTTTCCAAAAACAGTTTGATATTTGATTTTTTTCGTTCCGGTCTGATCGCCCTTACCTTGTGCCTTGTGTCGAGCCTCACGAGCGGCTTGCTTATTGGCCGCAGCTGTTGGACATCCTGATAGACTTCTGTGAGTGTTCCGATTGGAGCTGACGTGACCGCGACCGTTGCAACCAGGCGTTGGGCATTTCAAAATAGTCTCATGCATCGCCAGAACTGCGAGAACCGAGACACGTGCGAGATTATATAAGACACGTCGTTAAACAAACAACACGCATCAGAATCGAGTAGAATCTTTTCATGTATTTTTAAAATCGTCATCGACAAAGGACAAAATGATTTTTTTAATTCATCATTAGGAATTTATATATTTCAATTAGAGAACTGAAAATTAGGTTATTCGAAAAAATGACCAAAACCAATAAGGACTTTTTTCTGACAAATAGAACCAAAAAGAAAATTTGTTACACGTGGATAATTACAAATCAAAGTGTAATTTACAATAATATCGAGCGGGTAGAGAGAAACAAAATTATATATCGAGAGACAAATTAACAGACCAAAAAAAAGTACATATCAACCATGTGTACGTGCTAACCTATGATACTCAAGATTACAAAAGAGGAATCGTGGTGTTGTTTTTTCGTAAACAGCCGGATAATTCTTGTCCTATTTTACCGTGTAAATTTTATAGTTTTGTGTATTATTACAAAAACCGATAAGAAACACTTTTTGGCATACCGAAAAATTTTTGTAAGAGAATTCATTTTACCCAGATAGTGCTAAAGCTTTCAAGAAGCTTATTGTGTAATATTGACAGATTTATGGCAAAGTCACATCGAAAGTTTGCAATATTGCAGCAATTATTCTTTGCAATATTACAGCAATCTTTCATATCAAGATTGTAGGAATCTTTCATTTTTCAAGATTGCAAGCATGTTTTAACGCAAGCTTATAACAACTTTTCATTAAAAGCTTCTTTTATAGTAAATATTTTATCTCAAGAAAACTTGCGATAAACTTGCCATAATATTGTAACATTTCGTAGTAAGCTTGCAGCAATTTTTATTGTAATCTTGCAGCAATTATTCTTTGCAATATTAAAGCAATCTTTCATATAAAGATTACAGGAATATTTTACAGGAAGATTACAACAACTTTTCACCGAAAGCTTGCTGAAGAGTGTTCTTTGCTATATAAGGCAAGCTTGCAGCAATCTTCCGCTGCAAGCTTGGCAATATTTTACATTAAGCTTGCAGCAATATTCCGTACTATCTGAGTATAAGATTTTATAAGTTGAGATTTATATTATAATAGAATAAAATAATTTAAAATTTACCTTAAAATTTTTTGAGAATTTACCAAACGATTTCCGAATTTATTTTCAAAATTGATTTGTGATGACTTTTAATCACAATTTCGTGAAATTTAGATAAATATCGATGCGCGTTCACTAAAAGTACTAACTGTTAAAAATGAATGTCTTATAATTTTAAAGACTAAACTTTATAATAAAAATTTCTTTTTTATAAAATTGAGTGAATATAAGTACTGAGTAATAAAATACTGCTTGATCAAATATTGAATTATTAAATTCTTAAAAATTATTGAATGATTAAATATTGAAAGATTAATCACTGAAAATTCAAATACTGAATGACTGAGTATTGAATGATTAAATACTGAAATATAAAATCGTAAATGAAAAAATATTGAATGATTTTTGAAGTCAAAGAACTCAAAAAAAAATATTTGATGAACAGAATTAAAAAGTCATGTATAAGATAAAATCTATCATAAAAGAAAGCGCATTCTTTTTCTTTGGGAAAATAAAGTCCAACATTAATAAATGCGCACTGTTCATGTTTTTATAAATATTCATGAATTATATATTGAAATATGTTGACAATATTACTCGATTTGTTGAGATTCTTCATATTTTTTTTTTGATTCTGGCGTGTGTACATTCCGGTATATCGCCCGTGTCTCGGGGTCTCGAGTTCTCCAAAAAAGTAGTACGGCAACAAAATCAAGTCAAGTGTGGTGATAAACTCTCTACTATAATGAACTACAGAACAAAATGTTAAATTAAAACAAAATATGAACACAATAAATAAAGCTCTCTACCCCGCAAAAACAAAAAAGCACAAAGAATATATAACAAAACATTTACGCGAGCGCGGCTCCTTTTATTTTCGCTTACGACTTTTTCTTTTTTTTCTCTTTTCAACAATAAAATTTTCAGCAAGGAAATTCATTTTTTTTATTTTTATAACTTTTTCGATTATTATTTTTTCCAATTTTTGGTTCTTAAAATTATTATTTTAACTTGTTATTTTAAATTATTATTTAAAATTGTTCTTGAAAATTATTATTTAAATTTTTCTTGAAAATTGATATTTGAAATTATTATTTAAGCGGTTATTACATACTAACACAGTTACGTTTCAATAATAAGTGTTTGGAAAGATATGAAATAATTGTGAATAAATTTCCTTGCCGATTTGAACCAGTAAAAGGCGCCGATGCACTCTTGTGTAAACTGAAGATGCACTAATAGCTACGTTAAGAATGAAGAAAAATTTTCTTTCTAATACTCACTCTCTGGAGTCAGTTTATCTTTGCGTGGACAACCGGAAAGGCTGTGAAAGAAAACAATGTTTTATTTTAATTATAGAAATTATAGAAAATATAAACTGCATAAACTATACCTAAATGTAATATTTTTAATCTTGAGGCCGCACTGTAAAAACAGTGTCTCAATGTAAGACGTTTCTGTCCCCACTTTTGAAACATTTGAGGTGTTTTACCTTAGTAATTTTGAGGTAAAACACCTCAAATGTTTCAAAAGTGGGGACAAAACGTCTTACATTGAGACACTTGTTTTTACAGTGCGACTTTGTAATTTTCTTCGACTTATAATTTCATTTTCACTTTCATTTTCTCTCTTATTTTCACTTTCATTTTTTTACTTTCCTTTACATCTTTATACTTTCGCTTTGGTACATATTCATTTTCTCTTTCATTTTCACTTTCATTTTTACATTAATTTTTACTTAAACTTTTACTTTAATTTTCCATTTCATTTTTACTTTTATCTTCACTACCATTATTACTATCATTTCCATTTTTAATTTCAATTTGACAGTTTTTCATTTTCTCTTTCATTTCAACTTTTAGTTTTACTTTTATTTTCAGATTTTGTTACATATTTTCATTTTCGTTTTAATTTTCAGTTTAATACATTTGCAGACAATTTAAATTTTTCTAATATACGAAAGTAGTAATAATTATTTTATTCCAAAATAAAAATGAAATTAAGCAATAAATCTGGCGAAGCAAAAATAGAAATTAAAATGAAAATAAAAACTAAAATCCAGTGAAAGTGTAAGTGATAAACTGTCAAAGTAAAAGAAAATCTGTAAAATTGAAAATCTCCAATAGTGCAAGTGAAAATGAGTCTGTGAAAAAGAAAATTTGTCAAATAAATTTTTGTCAGAGTTCAAAATAAGAACCTTTAAAAGTGAAAACGAAAATGACGATGAATACTTGACAAAGCAAAAATGAATATAAGTCAAAATGAAAATGAAAAGCTTGAAAAGTAAAAAGGAAAGTGAAAATTTCTAAAAATAAAAAAATAAACTTGAAACTCTTAAGTTTGTGAACTAAAATTCTATATATTTGAGAAAAAAACTACAATTAAAACAGTGTCCATTTTTTTCTCCTTTTTTCGAATTTCCTTTCCAATAATACCAATAATAATAATTAAAAAATTGAAAGGAGGGATATTAAGGGATACATTGTATCAATAATAATTTATTGTAAATGAAGTGAGAGGGTAATTATCACCCCTCTCAAAAGGTATTGAATCGAAGGATAGATAATGGAGATATTAATTAGGCACGTTCAAATGGACGGTTAATCGACATGGAGAAACCAACGGAGCACGTCGACAGTTAATTACTGATAATTGTTTACCTGCGGTGGTGCGAATAGAGTCCGGTCACGTGACCCTGCCCAGTGCAACCAGGGGTCGGGCACTTGTTGCCCTCTACAACAAATCAAACCATCCAGACATGAATGAATTAATTCCATTTTCCCACACAAGCAATATATGAATAATATTATAATTTTAATAATAATACAGTAATAATTTTAGTAAAAATAATATAGCACTAATACTATAATACAAATAATATAGTAATAATACTAGCATTAATAATAATAATGTTAATAATAACTTGTATATTGAAAATGGAAATTAATTATATCCTACAATTTTTTACTTTAAATTGTTTTTATGTCAATGTTTTATACATTTTTATAGTTTATTATGATTTATATTATATACTAAAAATTATAGTTGAATGAATCTCGACATATGCGACTGATTGTAACACTCTGACGTGGCTCTGTGTCGTGGAGTGAAGGCTTAGCTTTATTAAAGAAATTATCGATCGAAAAAATTTTTAAGTTATTTTTCTTTATAGAAGGAAAATATAAAATTGTTTTTGCAGTCAAGTTGTAAATTTAAAGTTGTTCAAGTAACACTTGAATTGGCTCTCGAAAAATTACTTCCACTCATGAATGATTCAATGGAACTTGAATCAAATTCCCTTTATTATTGATTCCTATTTCGCAACATATATTTGTATGTATCCCTTCAAATAAATGAAAATGGATATTAGACACGAATTCCTACTCACTGTTACTAATCTCCCTTTTTCACTTCTGGCAATTTCTCGATCTGTCTTTCTCCTTCTTTTTATGCTATCTCTATATCTTCCTCACAAATATTTGGAAAGATGTCAGTCACTGGACAGTTGATATTTTATTCAAAAAGTCTATGAGAGAATCATTGTATACAGTTGAGCAAGAAAGAGAAAGAGAGAGAGAGAGAAAAGTGCGCTTCATTTATAACTCTATCGATATTAATTATTAACTGATAACTTGACAGTTGATTTACCATCTGCAGATTACATTGTCAAGGAGATATTTTCTCTCATATATATAAGAAAAATAAAATTATTTTTAAAGTGCGAATAATTAATTAAAATTGATATAGATTTTTGGTAATCCTCCCCTTTTTCTATTAAAAAAACCCCTAATTCCTAATTTTCATCATTAAGTCAAATTTTCGTTACGCTAAATTTTTATCAAACTAAATTTTTATTAAACCAAATTTTCAATTTTTAAATACTCATTCATTAGTTTTCTTATTAATTACAATTTTTAACTAATAAAATATACGCATCAGATAATTGCTAATTTAACAAATTATTACTCAACGAAATTTTATTACAAAATTCGCATTTAATAAACTTTTTATTGGAAAAAAATGTAAAATGCGAAAAGTTAAATTTTATCCAAACATCAGTTATTAAATATAAATTTTATATTTTTACATTTATTTTTTTTACAAATTTTAATTTGATGTGAACTTTAAAATGCCGAACTTTTATTTTACAAATTCGCTATTTACTAAACAAAGCAGTCGAGAGAAAAATATCGCCGCCAATTTGAAAATTGACTAAATAAATTATATTCCTTTTGAAAAAAAATTTTTATTAACAAAATCGTCAAATTCAGTAGTAGAAATCGGTTCTGGTCAGACAGTAAAGTATAAAAGCCATAATAACTGTAAAATATTGAAAGTAAAAAAATAAATTTAGAATAAAAAGTCATTAGTAAAAGAAGTTTTAGTCAGCCAAAAAGAAATTCTTATTCAAATTCATTATTCAAGTAGTTAAAATAATTTTAGTCAGACACAACAATTATAATATTCGTAAAATTTTAATGTAAAAAAATGCAAAGTAGAAAATCAATTCAGAAATTAAGATTAGTAGTAAAAATAGTTTCAGCCAGACAAAAATTTTTTAGATATAACAGTCTCAATTTTAATTGAAAAATTCTCATTTAACATTAATTTTAAATGATCGAGTTTAAAATATGACTTTTTAAATTATATTTCTATTGCCTTCAAAACTTAGTTCTTATTTATAAATATAGCAAATTCAGTAGTAGAGACCAATTTGGTCAGACAGAAATGTAAAAAACGGTTAAATTGTAGAAGATAGAAAGATATCGATCGATTTAGATATAAAAATCAGTAGTAAAAGAATTTTTAGTCAGACAGAACTGAATTTACTGAATTAAAAAAGCCTATGAAGGAATTATTTATTAAATTTGTTTATTTAAGTAGTAAATATAATATTTGTCAGACAGATCAGTTTAAATTTAAATCTAACAAAAATTTCGCATTCAAAAGTAACTTTAATGAGAATAAATTTGAAACTCCACTAATTAAATTTTATGAAAAAAGCTGTTAAATAAAAATTTGGTTTAATGGAGAAATCTTTAAAAAAATCTCCCAAATATTTTTTACTCAATGAATAAAAATTATGAAGTAATTAAGCGCCAGGAAAAATATCCCGTTTAACTAATTATCTACGATAATTTAATTTCTATGTAAAATCATATAATATTCCACTTGTTATGTATAGAAAATGGTTTCTCGCATATAATTCTCTATTATTTAATAAATTCCTAATTATTACCTAAACCAACACTGTTGATCGAGAATAATATTACCGAGGAACGTGTGTTTAATTTCCTTATATTTAATTTTTAAATTCTCTATAACGAGTAAATTTCGACTCTCCCACGATCATAAGAAATTTTCTGGGAAAAAACTTTCCTTTACACGTATATACGTGTATAATATGAATATATATATATATATATATATATCGTGCAGGGGTTACACTCATATCTAATTTAGCTGGTCACTCGTGTGACACGTATACGATCGCGTTTGTCACGTGATATCCATTGCATGTTCATAAAACTACACGTTTCCATATTATAGATATGACCAACTTAGCTACTAATTTATCCTCGGCAATGATTTCCCTATTTCTTCTTTTCTGCAAAATGTTTTATGTGAACGCTTTATTTGTAAGTATACGCCTTTCAGCGAAATACGTATGAAGCTTTATTTTCCTCTTGATTTATCATCACCTTGTTAGAAATTGTTGATTAATTAATAAGCACTGTTTTCTATTTTTTAATTTTAATTTTTTTCCTTTCTTCATTCATTTTCTTTTGAAACGAAAACAAATTCTACCTACTTTATCGAAAAAAATTAATTCTGAAATTAAAAATATATACTCTCTAATGCTCTTTTTATTAGTTTTTATTTACCTGTTTTATTAGTATAAATGTTTACTCAATTGAATTAGTAGCTGAATTTTTCCTTTTGAGTTAGTAAATTTTATTAATAAATAGTAATTTCTACTAATTTATTCATAAAATTGACTAATTCGAAAGAAGAAAGTCAGTTACTAATTAAAATTATTAACAAATATTCTAAAATAGACACTTAGTGCCTATTTATTTTTAAATTCAGAAATTTTTTTTTCAGTCTTGAATTATACTTGTTTATTAGGTGAAAATAGAAAGTTCAATTGGAAGATTGTTTTTAATAGTATAATTCATAGAAAATGTTAGTTTTGTTTAGATAAAAAAAATAATTCAGTAGTAAAAAATGATACCAGTCAGACAGGAACTATAAAGTTCTACTACTTTTTTAAGTAGTAAAACTAGTTTTAGTCAGACGGAACTGCAAAAAAACTGTAAATGTAAATTTTGAAAAGAATAAGGAGTCAAAAATCAACTCGGATATTAAAATCAATAGTAAAAAATGTTTCAGTCAGACAGAATAGAATGACTTTCATCAGTTTTTAAATCTGATTTTTAAGTAGTAAAATTAATTTTAGTCAGACGGAGCAGCTAAACTACGTGAATGTAAATTTAAAGGAATTCGAAGTCAAAATTCAATTCAGAAATTAAAACCAGTAGTAAAAAAAGGTTTCATTCAGATAGGATTAAATTTAATCATTTAATTTTTTAAATTTAATTATTTAAGTAGTAAATTTTACTGTAATTAGACAAATCAGTTTCAATTTATAGAACCAAGTGTTAAGAGAATATATAGTGTCAAAAATCAATTTTCAAGTAGTATCAGTAGTAAAAAAAAGTTTTAGTCAGACAAAAACTGTTGTAATCGTTACTAAAATATTGATTGCTTAAGTAGTAAAAAATACTTTAGCCAGACAGAATAGTTCAAATTCATAATTTTAATTTTTAGGAGTTAGTAAGCGTTCTATGATTATAAAAATAAGTAGTATAAATCAATTTCAGTCCAACATATTTTAATAATCGTTGATTTAGACAGTCATTATAAGATTTAGTCAGGCCGAATAGTATAAAATGTTTTTTTGTAAATATTATTAGTTAAAGTAGATTCTTTTAAACCGTAAATTTAGTAGATGGGGTAACTTTCAGTCAGACATAAATTTTAAGATTCTTTGCAGTTAATTAATAAGCTCTTAATTAAGTAACCACTCTCTAAATTTAAATTAGTGAAAAATATTTACCAATTTGAAATTAATAAATTGTCATTTCTACTAATTTCACTGCAAAAACAAGCATCTTAAAATACATTGTAGTCACTTTTAAAACGTTTAAAACATTTTATTTTTCCAACTTCCATCTTAGAAACAAATGCATTTTAAGATGCTTTTGATAACTTTTTGGAAACAACTTAAAAGTGATTACCAAAGTATTTTAAAATAAGATGCCTTCTTTTTACAGTGTTATAAAAAAAATTTACTTAATCAAAAGAAAAAAGTCAGTCACTGATTCAAATTAGTAAACAGTTTTATTAATTAAATTTTAGAGAGCAAGGAAGATTTCGGTCAGGCAAAAAAATGAACTATCCAAAAATGGTGTAAAAAGTTTATAAATTTGCGATTTTTTAATTTTTCATTAAAAATATTTATAATCAAAATTTCTTCATCGTTTTTTCTTCGCATTTTATTTCTCGATTCATTTATTCAAAATTAATGCAAGAAAAGAGTAGAAAAATCCATGGGATTTTCGTCTTGTGGATTATAAGAAAAGTACGTGGATGATTAGAGAAGAGGGGTGGGTAAGGGGGGGGGGGGTTAACTCTCAGCCTAAATAAAGCATACAGCTAATGACGTCACG